CACAATAAGACAACAAGAAGTCACACATCCACAAAGAGATGCAAATACCTACTAAGAAACACAAAATGACTACAAACAGGTGCAAAACTACAAAAAAAAGAGTTAAAAAATAACAGAGAAGTAAAATGACAATAAAAAGACGCAAGATAACGACAAAGAAACACAAAATGACTACAATAGTTGCACATTGATCAGAAAGAAATGCAAAAAGACACAACGAGACACAGCCATGCCGTCATTTTGTGTCTCTTAATGTTGTTTTGTCCTACAAGATCCACATATTTGGACACTTAGAGATTTGTGGCTTTTAAACAGTGTATGGTTACAGGCAAATAACATATGAAAACTGTGGAGGTTTCACAGGATATGGAAATGTATGGTAGGAGTTTTCACAATAGCACTGTAATGCTGTCCCTCTGCGCATCATTGTGAGGTTGAACCTGCACTAATCTTCCCTCAGGTACTTGTTCTTCTGGGCCTTGTACACAGTGTCAGTGGGTGTAAATATACTGGATTACAAGAGGCCTTGGCACACTTGCACAGTTAAAATACTGTACATAATGTACAGTAAGGACGTCTTATACACAATTACTGGCCAGTGTGAAAATATGCTAGAAAAAAGATTCAGTTCTCCCTGTATGTGATCCCTGAGTTGACGTGCCTTAAAACAAATCACAAGAGGGCAAATTCATTTACGCTATCAGAATACAGTGCGTAATTAGCCACACTGCCTATTGAACCTTGGCTAATGTAATCAAATTAGCTGATCCAAACATGACTTCACTAAGACTAATCCAGATCTTAATCTAAGTGGTTCAATGTGATTGAGAAGCAGAGTTAACTATCATGCAATGAAAGCTTAATTCAAAGACAAGTTCTGCTAGAGAAAAGCACAGAGGTTTATTGCCAACTTTAATTAAAGTAATAATAAACTGAACATTCAAGTTCAGTGGCACGCTTCATCAGTAAACTTGAACTTGAACTTTTGAATATTGTTTTTATCAGCTGCTCTTGCTTTAACCAGTGTGTGTGTAACTTGTTTCTACCTGAACATTGTACCAGGATACAGTTTATGTCTATGTCTACCTGTCTATACTAATACATACCATGCAGTGGTGGAAATGCGTCCACCAATAGGCAGTAGATATTTCTACTGCCTAAGGCATTCAGGGCAGGTTATGTAGCAAATCCAACACGTTCTCATCCCAAGTCATCACATATCGCTGCTTTGTAGGCGGACATTCATATCTACGTATTACGCACTAGGGCTGTCAAAATTGCTCAAAAATGACGTTCGAATATTCCTTCTAAAAATAACTCATAGGTTCAAACCATTCGAATTTTTTTTTTTTTTCGCATTATGTCCACAAGAGGGCAAACTAATACAAGGAAACATACTTCTATATGTATTAATACAAGGAACATAACTACTTGTAGGTATTTTTATTTCAACATAAACGTCTTTGAAAACATTTACATACCTACACAGTAAAACACATAAAACAATTATCTATAACATTACGTTATAAACGACCGCGGACCTCTTGCTCGCCCCCCCTCTCTGACCTGTCAGGCCACACCACCCGCGGAAGCGCTGCAAATAGCCTCGAAGCGCCGAGAAGTGAAGCCAGTTTCCTTTCGGCGCCCATGTTAAGCGATTGTGTCATCCACACCGGTTGCGCCGCGCCGCGCCGCGCCGCGCAGCGCAGCTCCATGGCCGCTCCCACCTCCCACTCGCAAAGAGGACAGCTGCGGTGGTGGTTTTTTTCCCTTCACAATCGAATATCAATTTTCACATTCGAAGGTCCATTTTTTTTCAAATTCGAATTTAAATTCAAATTTAGAATATTCGTTGACAGCCCTATTACGCACTAGGTATCCTCATGCGTCTGCGATTGATGTTCCAGGACACCACAAGCAACAACAGAATGTCAACGAAAGCACATGGTTAGGTTTGGGAAAAAACATCATGGTTTGACTCTACATTCATACAGGAAGCAAACACCAGGCTCCAAGGGTAAAAAGTCCAGGGTTTGTTGGAACCATCCACCACCCCTCCCGCCTGCCCCATAGGGACTTTCCAGCTCCTTATATTACATTGTTATTGGCAGCGTTCAAAACTGATGTCATCCTGTGGCAATTTATACCGCCGCAACAGGTGCCATCCGGCTGTGTTATGAACTGATGACACCAATGCCTGCATCGTACCACCGTGAAAAGTACCATCTGGCCAGCTAGCAGCGTATCATAACACTGTGAAAGGTTCTGTTCAGCCCCATTACAAACTGATGCCCCAGCATCGGTGTCTGACGTTGAAATCATTGACTAAGTGGTGGTTTTTGATGACTTCGGAATGAGAACGGGCTGGCAAATTATGGCTGGATACTTGCATGATCTCAGGAATCTAGCTTCCCCGCAAGGAAATGTAATCTGGGCAGACACGGAGGACGAAGGTGACAACCCAATCACCACAAAAAATGTTAGCATTGTACGTAAACCTGCAAACCACAGATGTATTACATTTGTACATTACTATGTAGCAGATACACTGAAACTTTACATTTCAACAACGCTGTGGTTACTATGGTAAGGTTTGGGAAATAAAAAACATTTGGTTATGGCTGGGAAAAGATCATGTTTGGCTTTAAAAACTGCTCTTGTGGCACTATCCTGGCAGGAAATGCTGCCATGTCTCGGTAAAAATCTACCACTGTTCTCGGACTGTCTCAGTGGAAAAAAACGTGATGGTCCCTGAAAAACAATTGGTGTTGCTGTTTGTTGGTCTGGACAGTGGTCTGCAGTCATCTGCAGCTTGGCAGGTGTCTTGCCTAGGTGATTCGCAATTCACCATCCCTACCACCTCTCAATGATCGAGTCAGCTCATATACTACGTCACTTTAGAAATACTGATATGATACGTAGGAAATGTGCGAATCTAACGTAGTCATGCTTTGCAGAAATACACAATGCTAACATTTTCTTCTGGCCTCTGGGCTTAGAGTGAAGTTGTAAATACAGACACCTGTAACACTAAAATTATTGTTCTCAAGAACCTTAAAGCTTCCACTTTGAAAGAATTTTAGTTTTACTGTTCGGAGTCTTTTGTTTTTAACTTAAGTGTTGTCTCATGTGAGAAACATTCAATTCATTATAATGTAAGAGACAAAGAAGCAGCAGATTCTCATACTGAGAAACAAACAACCTGAAATACCAAATAAGGTCTTGTCTTGTTTGTTGGAGGACGTTCACTCACTACCGGCTCTAACGCACTCGGCTACATCAGGGACTCAAGGAGTGCTCAGCCTTCCTGTTGCCACAGGCTGCTATTCATGAACATTTCCTCTCTGTATCTTGACCACTTGGTGTTTTCAGGACACACCTGCAGGGCGATTGATGGTGAGTCAAACACTGAGGTCAAGGTCAGCCACTGTGGTTGTATTGTCCTGATGTACTGTGACAATGAATCACAGCCTGCTGTTAAAACTCCATGTTAGTCACTAGGAGACATCACTCCTGGAAATGCCTTAAAGGAGTCTAAACCATGAAGTCATCTTAGGGGTCTGTGTGGTAAAATGGTATAGTAGCTTTTCTCAGGTAAAACTCCTCCCACTGGGTGTAACAAGCAAGCCTGAGATTGTCTGTGTCAGCGCATGTGATTGTTTTGGCAACAGCGTTGAAAAGCACACACGGGCTTTGGGCAGCCGAGAGCAAATTCAAGCAAAATGTGAAGCTCCTGCTTGCTTTCATGTCTCACAGGCCAAATGAAAGTCACCAGCCTGTCTGTTGGAACTAATACGCACTCACCTGAAGCAGATGGAGCTCCCTAACTTAAATGGATATCTCCTGTTTTTCCATATGAGAGCAGGATGGTTCGTGAGAGGAGTCTACATCCAAGTTAAAACTGAATGTTAGACCGCCAGATGGAAAAAGTACTGAGAGTTACATTGAGACAGGAGGAATGATAAAATGATGATTGAAAATTCATGACAAGATAAATATGAACTTACAGCAATCCTCTGTTGCTATTTAAAGAGGATGATTTTCTGTCAAGTCAGAAGCATTTGCCTTTATGTGAACTAAGTCAAACAGTGTGTCTGATGAAGACTTAATTTTACCTGAGGTTTCTTCCTCTTCGGAAGGAGCCACGTGTAACTTCTCACAAGAAAACAACTGTCTGACTCTCCTATCTTCTGAAAAATCACGACGAACTGTGATAATGTTTTCCTGTAAAGTGTAAACTGATGCTCCCCTCTTGAAAACGCTGTTGAAATTTTTATCTGTTTAATCATTTAAAACGTCTCATTCCTTAAAACATTTTGCAAAATACTTTTGCAGCTGTACCGTGTCCCAATTTCTAAATCAAAGAGATGGCAGGGGGGGAAAGTAGGCTGCGTGTACTGTACAGCTATCAGTGAAAGTAGGAGTTTAATACATTGCTAGAGAGAGTGACGGCTGAGCCAATGTTGCAGCAGCCATAAAGGGATTATTTTTCCCTGGAAGACATAATCATGTGTAACACACTTGTTTCAAATCCTGTGAAAAACAAACAGGTGTTTCAGCTTTAAATCCAGCCCTTCATCCTCTGGCACACAGACAGGACAGAACCCCCAGAAACAGACCTTTTCTGGTATTTCCCAATTAGATATTAGAATATGGTGAATAATGCCAGGATGGTTTTAACACCATTCATCCCAGAAATAGACCTCACATCTTGAGGAATAGAATGTCTGGAAATATTTTGTAAAATGTACTTAATGTTGACAACGAGCAGGAGATAGACTGTTGCTTTGGTTTGATGATAATCTGGATGAAAATGTCAAAATTTGTGTTGAATGAATGTCACCTTGGGACACATCATGAGTCAAATTTTAGGTCCAGTATTTACACTATTTAAAAAATATATCTAATATATGTGGTGTGTGAGGTGTATTAGGCTGTTTAGTGTATGAAAGAAAAACAACCACTGTGAATAAATGTGTGAAAATAAGCTCTTGACTGACCTGAGAGCCCCCACAGGAAGGTGAATGAGAGCAAAGTAAGTTTCCTCGAAGTACTGGTGTAGACCTCCATGGTTGATGCAGCCACAGCTTCCACTTCTCGGTGTGTTAACGTCCTTCACCCAGCTTTATATATGAGCTCTGTTTGGCCTCAGGCAAAGCTCTTCAAGTCTGTCAAGTGGTTTCCCTTCGATCTCCCAGCAGAGCCGTGAGCCGGGGAAGGTAAGGAACACTTCGGGTGAGGGAATGTGAGAGCCGCAGGAATCCTCTTTTCTGACTTTGCGGTGAGGTTGTAGTAAAGTGTAAATAGGATCACGGTCTTGCGCGACTCTTGTTCTCCAGTTAACGCTCGTCCGCATCAGCAGGTCCGTCCTTATGGAGACAGCATTGAGTCCAACTCTGCAAGTTGTCCTTTGTCATCCGGAGAGAGAGAGAGAGAGAGAGAGAGAGAGAGAGAGAGAGAGAGAGAGAGAGAGAGACAGGAGAGCCGTACCACCTCAGTGAGCGAAAAGGCATCAAGATTACTGCAATATCAAAGACAACTTCCGGTTTGGTGCTTCAAAATAAAACCCGCTATTTACGGACGCGGTTTAACTGAATGCTTTGCGTAACAATCCGCTCTTATTTTGAAAGAAAGGCTGACTGACATTCCTTAAATCGCCACCTGTATTTTCCATCTTGACGAAGGTACACCTGTCCTCTGGCTCGCAGCCTGCGTGCAGGTGGAAAAGCTACTTTTCATGTAAGGTTTTGAATATAACTCTGAATCTTTTTCACAAAATGAACCATTAACAAAAGTACATATCATGTGATGCAGAGACTGTAAAATGTAAAACACGATGAAATGTTCCGCAAACTCATTGACACAAATTAACAGTGTAAAACACTGGGTGTAAAAGGGTAAGGGCCTGTTCGTTACTGACGAGGGGGAGGGGGGTGTTACAAAGAGAGGGGGGCATGTAACATAATTGTTTAGGCAATGGGAGGGGACTAAGTTTTTTCTATATTTTGACTTGGGATGGTGCTATATACATTTGAATTGTTGTATTTTCATTATTTTGATTTTTTTTAAACATGCCCTCCTAATGGCATTCTTTCATTCTGAGGGGAGGAGGTGGTGCAAAAAGGGGAAGGCATGTCAAAGGCATGTCAGAGGCATGTCAAAAAGTGGGAGGCATGCCAAATACATTTTAAAGCACTGGGGAGGGACTTGTGTTTTTATTATTTTAGCTTAGGAGTGGGGCATACAAATTTAAATGGTTGTATTTTGATTCATTTTACCACAAATTTTCATGTTTTCTTTGAAAAATTGCCAAAAACTACACCATTTATCAAAGCCAGATACTGTAAAAACAGAAGTTATCGTTGTATTTTAAAATTTCTGATGGTCATTGGATACAAAGTGTGTGACAAACGTTTCTTCGGAGAAAAAACAAAAACAAATCTGAGCTTGAAATTGTGACATTTCATCTTAATCACTTTATCCTACATGTTATTAATAATTTGGCAAAAAAGATACCGTCGACACTAACTAACCGCATGCATGACAAAAGTGACAAAACCTAACTTCTAATAATCTGATAACTAATTTATGATGGAGGGAGGGTCATGCATTTTCAGGGAGGCTCAAGAAAAAATGTCTGTAGCTTCAGGGAGGGTCTAAATAAATAAATAAGTCACACCCTAACCACCCTCTTAATTAGGAACATGGATTATGACATCTCCTTATGAATGGACGAGAATGTGTGAGAAAATTCATTGTAAAGGTCTCAGTCAGTCTTCATGTCTCTCAAAAATACTTGTCACAAACAGCAGAAAATAAATGAACTGATTATGAAATTATGTCTTCAAGTCTATAAAAAAACAACATGCTGCAAATGTCTTACACCTGACCTGTTATGACCTGAATTTTTCTATTAAAAATGAGAGACAAAAAATTGTGTTTCATCAAATTCTAGGCAGGCGTACTTGTGTGCAATTTGCCAATTTCAAGCTGTCTCAAGCTTTTTTAACAATAAGCCTATTTCCAAACCCACACGACTAAAGCTCCATCCTTTTCCCCAGTCTCCCCTTGAAAATCTTCAGCTCCTGTTCTATCATGTGTGAAGAGGTGTGGGTCTGAAAGCAGAGAAACAGACTGGACTCAGCTTGACGTGAATTCCCAAGGTGAGCTCACCCCCTGATGTAAAAATATGGACTGACCTGTGCTCTCTGAGGTGGTCAGACCCCTTTATTTCATTTTCTAAGGTTGCCCAGTTGCCTCAGCAACAAGGGTGAGGCTAATGCGGGGGGACTGCTCAATTATGAGAGGTGAACAAGGGTTATTCCTGTGATTAAATCCAAAGAAGCAGGGTCCAAGCCTTATGGGGATGAGATTTTGTTGTGTTGTTGTAAAATGCATCTGGGCCTCCAGCTGAAATCTGCAGCATTCTGGGGGGAAGCTGTCAAAACAGGCCTGTTTTTATTTTTGTTGCAAAAATAATTTGAGCAGGGCAGAGAGGCTAATACTGGATTCTGGACTAGACTGCTAATCCAAACAGACAAGTGTGGTCAAAGGATGAGCAAACCTGACACCTGGAGGCCAAATTTATAGCTTGTTCCTGTTCATTATCTACAGTATTTATGGATACATTAAAGATACTTTTATCTTTTTTAATCTTTGGTTTTTTTCCGCAAAAGAAAGGAGTATAATTCACAAAAAAGTGCAAAGTAGCAGCAATATGTATGACACGTTTCCCCTTTATCCCAGTATCTGCCATTACCTGTCCAAATCCTCTTTATCAAACCCCAACAGAGGACAACAAAACTAAATAATACTTGTAATTAATATAATACAGAAATAAAACTAAATAACAAGCTGTACGGCTGTTGCAATCAAGGGAATAGTAGGTTATTGTTAAACATTCAACATATTTTCTCAAAGGGTCTGCAGCCCACAGTGCATATAGTTATTGTAAAGTAATTATGGTACACTCTTGGAGCTAACTATATTAGAAATCATACATTGAGGAATAGTATTATTGCACAGAAGAGAAGAGGTCTCAAGTACAATGAAAGAAAGCATGAATATGCTAACAGTGTTTGCCATTTCTACTCAATCAAGGCTGGCACTCCCTACAGGCTGTAGAAAGGTTGTGCAGTGGAATTTCACTGGTCATGTAAAGATGTTTGGTCATCCAGGACAAGATGTTTTGAATTGGAGCTGGACTTGCCTGTAGAAAATACTGTGACTAATGTGTCACCTGTATCACTTTAACCTGCACATCCTGTATTCAGACAGTAAAATTTTTTGGAAGAATTTGCCTTTGCTAAAAATCAACAAGAACAATTTGGAAAGGAGTTATTGCTTCAATGACATATTAGGATAGAGCAGATTATACTCTATGGGGTAGATGTGTGAAATGTAAAAACCTGCATAAAAGTATCACCGTCTTATGGCAGTTATCATCACAGCTCTAGATTCTGTACTGATACTGTCCTTCCTCTGGACATATTGTATGCTTAGATTCCTAAATTCTTTGTGTTCCTCACGTACGGCACAGCATGAATGAAAACCTATTACACATTAATTGTGAACAAAAGCACACAGGGCTATCAAATATGCAACAGCGAGGTATAATGGAATGTGTATTTACATTATGTATGTGTAATTTCTGTCGTTGAGTCAGAAATATTGTGCTTGTACAGTGTAAATAAAACAGTGAAAGGCAAAATGTAACATTAATTATTAACTAACTGGGAGAGCCAGACGTTTAATTCATAACAAAAGGGCAGTATAAAGTACATGCCTCTCTATTGGATTTGGTGTCTCAGTGAATAAACTGTGTAGCATCTAAAAAATAGATTTGTTCATTCTGTTCACTTGCTAAAATGTCACATATTTGTTCAAGTTAAAGTCTTATGATACTGTTCCTGGATGTCTGGGGAAAACAGATATTTGTTCCAGTTCTAAAGGCTAGTTTTTAAAAGGTCAGTGGCATTGTGTCTCTGCACATACATCACAGCCACACGCTGTGTCGGTTGTGGGTTTGCCTCCCTCAGAGGCACCTTTGAATTATTAGTAAGCTCTCCAATCTGTCACCCTGTTTTATTTCTTATTTAATGAGGTATTCATGCCTTCTAAAGCAAAAGATCTGATATAACTGAAGTAAATTAATGGAAAGTAACTAAAGTAATTCCTACCATGTGGGAATTTTCAGAAAAAGCTATCTATGGCCATCTCCTGGCCACATGGGAGAATTACATATTCTAGGTCTCCACACACTCATTCAGCTACTGCAGTTACATCAACTACAATGAATCACACACACAATACACAACACAATCACACAGCGGTCTATGCATTCAAAATAGGTTTTTCCCCAAAATATATACTCAGGAAAGGCAGTTACAATGCTTTCTTTCTTTCTTTCTTGCACTCTGATTGTTGGGTAAAAACATGACAGTGTATGTTGGTGCCCCAGCAGCATCAGCAGCCACTCACTCAGCCCCAGCTGTGTTTAGAGAGGAACCCTGGTGCAGGGCAGGACAGAGAACTTTTGCACCTTTAAGGGACTGTTCTTTGATTATCAGAGGAGAGGAGTGACTGGGGTATGACTTCTCCTGAGACATGAAAAAAGCCTCAGGTTTTTACTCTTGTCGTGCATGCTGGTAAGCTGGTGCAAACGGTTTATTTTTGGCCACATTTTAAATGACACATAGTAATAAGTTATTTTTGATGAAACGTCACTATTTAAATCTCAGATTTGGTTATATTTGTCCTCTGACAGAAGCTTTCACATTCTTTGACCAAGGACTATCAGAAACATGAAAATCCAGTGATAATTTCTGTTTTTACAGACCCTGGCTGTAATTAATGGTGAGATTTGGCGATTTTTTTAATTTTTAAAAGTAATCAAAATACAGCCATTTAAATTTGTATGCCCTACCGCTTAGACAAAATAAAAACATATGTCCCTATATATTTCCCCTATATATATCCCCTGGGCGCACAGAGCAGCAACTAACTATCTACTTGTGGAGTGTCAAGAGATGAAAACAAACTCTGTGCAGAGAAAGTACTGACAGCTGCTGATTCTGAGGACTGACAGGATGGATACCTAAAACATGATGTATCGTTAATTACTTGTTAAAGAAATCACCACGATGTAAGTGTGGTAATCAGTCCCAACTGTTTTTAGACATTTACATGCACATGCACATGCAGTTAGGCCTAACTATTTGTTAGAAATTTGTTTTTCACTGTGCGAGAAAAAGGACATGTGGTGTGTAAAATGTGAAGAGTCAATTCCATGAGTCTCACAGTCAATGAGTAAGTGCTGGCAGCCCTGCAGTTAAAAACAGGGACATTACTAATAGGGCTGTAAACCTCTGGCCAGTTGGTTGATTGTGTGGTCATCACT